TTTAAAAGAATATTAATGTATAGGATATTTAAAAAAATTAAAAAATCAAGAAAATTTTGAATACAAAATTGATAAACAAATATAAATTATAATTGTTACCTATAAAAAGGGTAAAATAACTTTGAAATCTACATAATTAAATTACTGTTAGATGATATAAAATAAAATGCATTGGATTTATATTTTAGTATTTATTTTATAAATTTTCTCGTAATTCTAAAATTACAATACAACAAATACGTGTGAAATTAAAATCGTTAAAAATATAAATAAGTACAATACAAAACCATCTTACATTTTCATATAACATGATACCTATACGTACGCAATAATCCCCCRAAGAAACATATGATTAGAACTGTGGCAATACTGAGATTTTCATTAATTTGTGTATGAGTGACATAATGTAGTGAAGAGCTCTAGGTCGTCAATGTTAGAACTATTTGACCTATTATCAAATTTAAATAGTCTCGTAATGTTAAATGTTTTTCTATTTCTCAATTTTAAGACTAGGCAGATATCATGTTCACCTAACTTTTCCATTATATAATTATGTAATTTTCATTTGTGGTATTGTAGTTTACAATGCCTAATACATAAAATACATCAATATAAAAATTGGGTTATGATATAAAGCTGTTAAAAGGGTTAAATGAATTATGTATAAGTTAGTTTCTTACAGAATAAAATACAAGTATATCATTGATAATGTGATRAGGGAAGAGGAGGGGGTTAATTGGAGGTAAAAAAAGGTAATTGGAATTTAATTATTGTTTATTAAGTACTAGTATTATGCTAAATTAAAAATATGGGCTCTGTACGCAAAGYAAACGCAGTCTAGGTACCTACCTATATACTTATCTAAATATTTATAAATCATAATAAATGGTACTAGGTAGGATAATTAAGTTTAAAATCAAGTACTAACTGACAGGTTGTAAGGGGAATATATAGAACTTGTCTATATTACTTGGTATATATAGTAATTTAGAACAAATCGTCGCATAATGGCCAAACTTCATACAATCGCACATTTTTATAATTATGTGTGCATTTATAGGWAGAGTTCGATGAGTAAAATCTTAAAATCTTAAAAGATAAGTGTGTAACATATGCAAGCAAGTGTATGGTTACGTACATTATGGACCATATATAAGTAACTATAYACATCAATTTAATCGACAAAATGATTTATTGTAGATAAAATTGAAACTTTTTTCAATTTCGAGGTGTTCAGGAAAGGATCTAAGGATGTCTGTTTTTGGTGGGCTGATAAAACACATTTGCCTCTGTGCCGTTCCCTGGTTTTGCGAGGCACCCTGGGCATAATTAGAATTCGAGGTTCTAGACTTACAATATTATATACTAAAATATTTGGAAATATTTTATTCACATGATATATTATTCTATTGCGTATACGTGAGTCCCTGGGCGTGTGTTTCCCTAGCCCTGCGCTCAGGACAGCACTCATTGCCTTGCCAATTGGCTAAAATTTTATCCAAGATCCCCCTACCCCGTAAATTTGTTCTAGATCCGTGCCTTACGGTGCTAAGTTTTGATTTTATTTACGATCGATTTTGTATACTAACTTACTAATTTTCTAAAACAAAGTGGAGGTAACTATTAGAAGAAATATCAAACAAATATTCAAAATTACAGTTTTTCAAAAAATAAAAACTAAAATAAAAATTATATTATATTGATTGATTCGAGTAGGATAGGCAAATACCTTAAGCAGGCATATTGTATATTAAACCAGTGGTTCTCAACAGGTGTGTTGCCAAAAAAATTGTTTATTCTTATTATAAATACTAACAACGTCATTATATACATACCTATATTATGACGTTATGGCGATATGATAGAAAAGAGACAAGGAAAACAATTGGGAAGGTATAGTATCATTTTAAATTTACATCAAACATATAGGTTAATAAAAATCGTTGCTTTTTCTAAAATCCATTAATTGTTTAAAAAGCGTGTGTCCATTTTAATGGATCTAAATTAGGGCGTCGTCATAAAAAAAGGTAAAGAAGCACTACAATATTTATAAATAAATTTAAATTATAAAACAATGTTATAAAATCGTAGACGTAAATACGATATAAAAATTGTACACATATGACTTAATAAACATCAAAAAATAATTGTAGTGCTAAGAAAAATATGCTGTCTAAGAAAAAAATTATGTTTTTACACTTTTAGAAACACTACATCGTATTCAATAAATGTATGTACCTATATGCAATAGTTTGCAGATTTGATATAATCGTATGGAATTGCATGTGAAAATATTTTAATTTAAGTATATATATATGAATAGGTTACAAGATTATCATAATGCGGCTGTAGTTTCTAACTAAAAATTAAAATCTGGTTATATTATTGCCATTCATCTAAAAAGAAAAAAAAAAAATGATTTTACCACAGTGAAAAAATAATAATACGAGTATACCTTCAAGAGAAAATAGTGTCAGATAAAGTGGAATCAAAATCTTTCGACTTGGGCCAATGATAAGTTTTTTTATAGTTGCAATATAAAGTGACTTTTTTGTTCGTCATGTTAAGTAAATGCATTTATATGTATGAGAAAAAAAAATTATGCATATAATAAGAAAAAGGTGGACATATGAGTACTGCTCTAATATACAGTAACTATAGAGCATGTAATTGTAGATATATTATATTCGAATGCAATAATAGATCATTACATATACGAAAAACGATTATGAGCGGATATGTTGTGTCATTCTAGAATACTGGTATAAAAAATCTTATTGGATAATTAAAAAAATTAAAAATCTCATGGATTTAAATAGCATAACATAAGAGCAATTTTTTTTTGATAAAGGTAGAAAAACTTATGGGAATCTTCTATTAAAATTTCAAGTTTCAATCGATATACG